AACCTGATTTAATATAGCATAAATATTTGTTTATGTCACTAAAGAAAGATAATAATAGCAAGCATAGAATTCACTACATGCCAGGCACTAGATTAAGTGTTTTATACATATTAGTCTCACAACATGCTGTATGTTGGATAGCATTATTACTCCCATTTTATAGGTTAAAAAACGGAGGCACAGAGAGATGAAGTAAATTGCTTAAGGTCATACAGCTAGTAAATGACAGAACTAAGTTTGGAGCCTAGACTACCTCTACTCCAGAGGTCATGCTCTTGACCACAGAGCTCTGACCCATGTCAGTATTTTCATGGCTATATTATATGATCATTTATCTAACCACTTCCTTCTTTCCGGGCGTTTAGATCCACTGTTGTACACAAAGCAGCAATGAATACCTTGTTCACGTATTCATCTTTGTATGTGTGCTCATTTACTACCGTTAGGCTAAATCCCGATGGGTAGAATTGCTGAGTCCAGGAGTTTACATGTTTTTGTAAAATTTGGATACTATTAGTCGATATTTTAAGCAATATATTTCCTATGTCTCTTTGACCCTTATAAATTCATTGTTCTTTTCCAAAACTGTGTAACTGTCTTTTGGATTCAGTGACTGTTTGTTTGTTTCTTAAAACATGGAGCTTCTCTCTTCCACTTCTTCTCCCTTCCTTCTGCATCATGCCCATTTCTCTAAAATGTTTCACAAAACAATACACTTTCTAAAAGCATGAGGCTTTATGTTGCCAGTACTTCCAGTACCTTCCTCCTCCTGCCCTGTATCTCTTCGGTGGGGTCATGTACACAGATGAAATACTGCCCACCCTTTGACTTAATGTCAGTCCTTCATACTGCTATTTTTTTCCTTTTCCCTGCTTTACTATGTCTTCCCGGATTCATAAGCATTGACGTAACAAACCTGCTGTACAGTGTATTTTTTTTCTTGATTCGATGCATGTCCATGAGGGTGGGCTGCCCGGCAAGGATGACTGATGTGTTCGAAGCCTGGGAGACAGAGCTTCCTGGTCTTATCCCACCTTGGCCTCTCACTCCTTGTGTGACCTTGAGAAGCCACTTCATCATTCTGCATTTCATTTTCCTCATTTGCCAAATGAAGAAGGTGAACTAAATGACCTAGAAAACCTATTCCCGGTTTGGGGAAAAATAAAAAGGGTCAGGCTCTCCGAGAGTAAAGTAGAGCCTGGAGAAATAGTATTTGAAACTGGGGCAAATGTGCAAGTTGGTGGAGCCCCGTTGGAGGCCGTTAAAGATTTGTTTCAACATCTTACAAATATTTTGTGCCGTGTCTCTTAGCCAAGGTCTCCTAAGAGTGTGCCTTAGTGGTTTGTGAAACATGTCTCTAAGACCAAGGTAATTATAGTTTTTTCTACTGATGCATGACAAATGGCCTCTCACTTTGAATTCTTTAATGGGGAAGAAAAACTTTCCATGACAACAGCACTGGAACTTAATTACAGGCTCCAGATCCAGGGGCAAGAATAGAGGTAGTCATGGCTGCGGTCAAGGGACAGAAGACAGCCTGGGAGGAGCCAGGACAGAGGGATGTAACAATGACAGCATCAGTGGGACTACATCAAGCACTTGCTATTTGCCAGGCGCCGTCCCAAGAACTTGAAATTGTGTGTCTCATTCAATTCCCGCGGTGATCCTAGAGATAGGTTATGAGGTAGATGCTTTTACTTCTTCTGTTTTACAGAGATGAGTATTGTGAGGCTTAAAGAATTTAAGTAACCTGATTTAATTTACTCAGCCAGTAGTTGTCACAGGCAAAATTTGAACCCTGAGAGTTCTCTTACATAACACAAGCTTTTTGAATATGTGTTACATGCCAGGCAGCCTTCTTGGGTCTGGAGATGCACCAGTGAATGAGGCAAAGTTCCTGCTCATATGGAGTTTGACTAATAGTGGGATGAGCCCAGAAATAACAAGTCAGCAAATCAATAAATAATTTCAGGTGGCAATAAATGCTATGAAGGAGAGTGATGAGAGCTAGGGGTAGGCTACTTTACACAAGATTGTCAGGGGAGGCCCCTAGGAAGTGACTTGTGAGTTGAGGCCTGCATAATGGAGTAAGTCAACCATGCAAAGATTATTGGAGAGCATTTTATGTGGACCATCCACAAGAGCGATGGCTGGGGGCTTGGAAGAGCATGGCTTGCTCTAGGAACAGTGAGAAGGTTAGCATTTCTGGATAAGTGTAAAAGGACACAGTGTCTGCAAAGAAGTCAAAGAGGTGGGCAGGGACCAGATGACACAGGACCTTGGAGGCCACAGCAAGAGGTATGGATATCTTATTCCAAATGCAGAAGGAAGGCGCTACAGAATTTCAAGCAGGGGAATGTTAAAATCTCCGGTCTCTACGGGCCCCCTTCTTCCCTTCTATGTAATACTGCCAATGAGGAGCAAGCAACTGGCCAGGGATAAATTGTTTCTGTAGCACACAGTGCAGCCTAAATGAAAGTTATAAAGTTAGGAGTCAGTGTTTCAGATGAAACAAAATTCTAGGTTTTTCATGAAACAGCAAGACTGTGAGGGACAGGGAGAGATCCTTGGATCTGAACTTTTGACTTTAGTTAAGAAGACTTTAGGAGATGCAAGCAGAGCATCTGAACTATACTTAAAACCTGTATGAAGGAGGTTACTTCTCTTCGGGGACTTTCCATTAATATGCAGAGACTGGCACTCTAGGCACTGAACATTCTTGACTGCTTCTCAGTCTGGGGATTGTGCTCACCTCATAGAACAAATCTCATCCAGAATAATAAGACATCATAGCTTTGTATAAATGACATCTCAGATTTATATTTCTTTGAGATCTGGTATCTCTGGTAATCTAGTGGTTAGGGTTCAACACCTTCTATGCAATCGTGTGTGTGTGTGTGTGTGTGTATGTGTGTGTGTGTGTATCTTTATCTTTGAAAAAATATTTTTGAAAATGCCATCAACATTTTAACACACAGGACCTGGCTTTTCTGATGAGGTGGCATTTTATGGATGTTTCTCTTGTAAACTCTGCAACTTATTTTCTTTGAATGTTTTTTATAAACAAATACCCCTGTTAATTCATTAAAATTGGTTTTTGTGAAACCAATAGAGTAAAATTAGTGGCTTGTTTGGGTTAAAAGCTCACTATTATGGATACTGTACTACTTTGACAACACTGTTAAGAGTTTCACTTTTATCAGCAAACTAAGTTTGAATAAGAACACTGGGGTGCCTGGGTGGCTCAGTCAGTTAAGCGGCTGACTTTGGCTCACCATGATCTCATGGTCCGGTCCATTGGTTTGAACCCCAAATCAGGCTCTGTGCTGATAGCTCAGTGCCTGGAGCCTGCTTCAGATTCTGTATTTCCCTCTCGCCCTCTGCCCCTCCCCAACTCATGCACTGTCTCTCTCCATCTCTCAAAATAAATAAACATTTAAAAAAAGAACATAAGCCATTATTAATGCACTGTATTTGTATGTGCACTTATGTGGCTGATTATCCATAGATAGAGTCCTGGCAATATGGGCCTAATGATATGGACTTATTTGAATGAAAACTACATTTGGAGGCATTTAGTTGCGTCTGTGATCAGGTGGACCCCAGAGAGCAAGACATTAATTGTGAAAGAATTTAAGCTACACAACTGTAATTAAGTAGGATTTGGGGACGTTCGCCACCCTTGAGTTAGTTTTTTTTTTTTTTTTTTTTTTTTATTTTTTTATTTCTAGGATAGAGAGAGACAGCGTGAACAGGGGAGGGTCAGAGAGAGAGGGAGACACAGACTCTGAAACAGGCTCCAGGCTCTGAGCTGGCAGTCAGCACAGAGCCCGACGCGGGGCTCGAACCCACGAACCGTGAGATCATGACCTAAGCGAAAGTCGGACGCTTAACCGACTAAGCCACCCAGGCGCCCCGAGTTAGTTTTTATATAAATAGCGTGTTTGCTTCTCAGGAGGGGAAAAATTCTCAAACGACCTCTGTGCACAAAGTTAGAGAATTTCTAGTCCTTGGCATGAAACTCGTTTGTGACAGTAGCATTAGAAGGGCAGCGGGTGGATGGCTGGGTGATATGATACCTTGGGGTTGCAAGAATGATGACAGGAACAATTTCCTCGTATAAAGGTGCTGAATTTGAGAACTCTTAAGGTTCCCCCCCAGCTCATTGTTCTGTGGTTTGAGGGAAAGGATTCTCCCCTCTGGCTGCTTAAGCTACCTATGTTTTACCAAGGCCTTAGCTACATGCTAGGAAGGCTGTAACAACTCCATCACAATTATAAATTCAGCTGTCAGCACTGGGATTGTTGAATCGACTGAACAAGCAGATTTCCTCCCATTGTCTGTTTTCTAGATTGATGAATAACAATTTCATCCTCTCCGTTTTATTGTAACTCTTTCACTCTGACACTTCTGATTGCTGAGAGGTGTTCTAGAAATTTCCTTAGTCACACGCTGAAATAAATTCAAGGAGATAATGCGATTCCAATTGAATCATCAGTGTCTCTGCTGTCAGACCCAGTCATTTTAGGAGTTCAGTTGGTTGAGTTGCCCAACTTCCCAGATTTAATACTACATACTTGCCACTTTACGTCTTGCCCTCAAGTCTTAATAAATGGGCTAAAGGTCTGATGGAAACTGTGAGATAAATTACATGTTTATTATGCCAAGTTAAGTAAATACCCTTTGAAAGGATTACTGGAGGGTACAATCAAGTTAATTGCTTTAAGAATCTTTTTTGATTTACTGGGCTCTATGAAAATGGTTAAGCAATTGATTTCTGTCATGGTAAGTGATCTGAAGAGAGTGCAGTTGGGTCCGCAAGGGTTGCCATGTACATTTCCTCCCTCGTGGCTGGAACTGTCCCATAAATGAGCAGAGGGGGGCCCCTGGGACCAGAATGCAAGTACCGCTGACAGACTGTTGTTCCTCCAAAGAAGACACATGTTGACGGTTTGACGTTCAGGCTGACAGATTGATTTTTTCCCCCTTTTTTATTCTAGATGCTGAAGAATACCAGCCTCCAATATGGAAATCGTACTGTGAGTATTTGAGATGAGAATCTCTTCACATGTCTTCAGTAGGCCTGCCTTTTGAACACTTCTTGCCATTGATTTAATGAACACAAACAGTCACACCTCACGACCCCGAAAACCCAAATCTTGCTTTTTCCACTGAGGAAAAAGTCAGGGGGAACCGCACAGCACTCTCCCTTGGCCAGGACCCCCCAGAGCAGGCTGCCTGTGACCCATTTCAGGAATGCTTAGATAAAAGAGATCTACATTCTGACTCCCGACCTTGTGGTTTGGGGCTTTCCTTTTCGGTTTTGCAGATTTGATCAGCAAGGACGAACGTGCTGACTTCCATGAATTACATTCTTAGCTGATCATCCTACAGCTGTAATATCACATGACATCTATCACAAAGAATATTAACAGATAGCAAGGAATCATGTTTGGTCACTACGGGTGATGCCTTTGAAACAGAAATCATATCTGGTCATCGGTCAGCAGCTCCGTTCCCTTCATGAAGGCAGGCACTTGTCATCACCATCACATTCATTTTCTATTATTTTCTCTTTCCTTAGTATCCACTGCCTAAGAGATTCTCCAGCAAGAGAGGGAAGGCATGTGGTCGGGTGGAAACCCACTGTGCTGACGGCCAGGGGACACGTGTCCTTGTTCAGGCTCTGATTCTGGACAGCAACAATAAGAATAACTATTATCCTCATTATTGAGGCTACTGCTGTTTCCACCACTCATGAGACCTGCCCCGTGCCGGCTACTGTGCCAGCTGTGTGCCCGAACTCTCAAGTTCTCCCCACAGCCCTAAGCGATGGCTGCCATGATTATCCCCGTTTCACGTGCAAGGAAACCGCAGCTCAGGAGGTTCAGTAACTTGGCATATGTTCTCCATCTCTCAATGCCTTGGATTGGCATTCAGAGTGCAACCCAGAAGCACGTCTGACCCACAGCCTGCAAGTTTTCAGGACTTTTTTTCTTCCCACTTACAATTTTATACCTGTGTATATACACACACACGCACACATATACGCACCTGCCTGTGTATATATCTGTTACCAAAGCAATACATAGCTGTACAAGACCAACATTACAAAACACACAAAGTTGAGAGTAAAATTCTTTCTAATTGACAAGCCAACCCCACCCCGGATTCCGTGTCTCTTTCCTGCTTCCCAGTTGCTGACCTCAGTCAGTTTTGGAAGCCATATCCTTTCAGGTGTTCAAAATATACATGGCTAATAGTAAGGCTTTTTTTTTTTTTTGCTGTTGTTCCCTTTGGAGAAAAATGGGCTTATGCTATACTTGGTGTCCTTCACCTTGCTTGTTTCATTTCACAAATATCTTGTTTTTATCTTTGCATGTCAGCATATATAGAGGCACCTCATTCTTTATTACATGAGTCTGTTCTCCCATCTGTGAAATAAAGGGGTTGTGCCGGGTCTCTGAGGGCCCTTCCAATCTAATGTTCTGCATTCTGATCTTCTATTTTAAAAGGCAGTGCTAATGACTTAGTAATTGGATGTTTTTGTTTGTTTGTTTCCTAATGGAGTGTGAAGAGCTCTGACAGTAAATCAACAAAATATCTGTAGTGAGAGGCACTGGGTGGTGCATGACTTACTGTGCTTTGCACACTGCTTTGCACACAGCCTTGCATACATTAACTAGCCAATAAATATTTGTTGAGTGAATGCCACCACAGAGAGCTTTACTGAAGCAGAACGATGGCATTGGCTCCAATTCATTTCGCCTTTGGCTAAGAGGCCTTGGGCCACCCAATATATCTCTTAAAAGTGCTCCTGAGTCCTAAGGAAGGGAGAAAGCACATTGTTAATTATATGTTTAGAGTATCAATTTCACTGTGGTATATTGGTTTTAAGTCTGACTTGGGGGTCTAACCAGAGTTGTGCTTTTCTTTATTTGCTCTAAAATCATAAAACTTTAGACATGGAAAGGATAGTTGAGGCCATTTAATACAAACCTAAGGTCATATGTGAAACTGTTCTCTATTACACCCAATAAATAGTCATCCCGGGTCTATTTAAAACTCGTATTTTCCTGATACGAGGAAAATGTATAGGTATGTCTTACGAGGCAAAAATGTACTGCCTTCAGTAAATATATGAGCAATTTAAAAGTACCAAAAGTCACTAGAGTTAAAAAAAAAATGCATGATGGAAAATGTGCATGCCATACATGCTATGCTAATGAGTTTGACATCAACACCTAAAATTATCTTTCAAAGGATGGTTTGTGAACATTTCAAAGAAAAGGACTCAGGTTCAACACGGATTCAACAACAGGTTATTTAAAACCAAGCAAATGTCATACTTTGAAATGTTTTAGACTTTCAGATCAGGAAAATACGAGTTTATACCAGTATACCAAACTGAGAAAATACCAGTTTCTAAGTTTAAATGCTAATTGGAATGCTCTTGGATGCAAGTAACAGAATATTCCACTCCATCACGTTCATTGACTTAAGCAAAAATGCCCAGCGATACTGGCTTCAGGCATAACTTGTTCCAGCAATTCAAACCGCATGTGTGGTATATAGCTCTTCCTTTCTAGGCTCTGCTTTTCAGGTTTGGCGTCACTATTAGTAGGCTCTTCCTTTGTGATCCCAGATAGCTACTCATAGCACCAGGACTACCTCTCCCTTATTCAAGAGCAGCAGGCAGAAAGAGACTTTACTTTCCTGACACCTTTAGCAAAGACTTAGAACTGAGTCTCCGCCCTGACTGACCTGCCTTACCCATTCCCGGCTCCATCATTGTGGTCCAAGAGTTGAGTATGCTGCTGACCTGAACCAGTCAGGGACCAACCCTCTGTAATCCACACAACTGGAAAATTTGGAGTACTGTTGGAAAGGAGAAGATGGAAATGGATATTGGGAAGGCTACCACAAATGTCTGGCTTAGAAAGTTAGAGGAATCAGAACCGTAGGAATCAGCTCTCTGAATATTTTAAAGTAGATGGTGCATTCATTCATTTATCACTCATGTGGCAAATGCATATTAAGGCTTTGCTTTAAGCCAAACACTGTGCTTAGAGTTGTGAGGCCAAAGGGATGGATAAGCCCGGGTACTGACTCAGAACCCAGATGTCACATGATTTTCCTTAACTCCCTGTATTTTCTGCTCCCCTCTCTTTCTCAGAACCTGCCACTCAACTGGGCTTGTCTTGGGACAAGAATAATCTTGTCCCAAAGTATCATATGTCTGCGGCTAGTCCTTAATATCGAAGATCAAACCCCAAAACATTGATGAAGTCATCAAGGAAGCTTTGGTTTCCATTTTCTTAAAAAAAAAAAAAAAAAAAAAAGCTATCTTCAAGTTCACTTATAAAAATAATAATGAAGCCACATTCTAAACTTGAAGCCGGAACCACACCAACTGTATGATGCCCTAAGCAGACAAGTTCACAAATCGCCCTGGGTATACTCTGAAAGACTTTCTTTTCGAAGAGGCCAAGTGCCAATTAGATAGCAGTTGCTGGTGCCGGCAGCTCCCCCAGGAGACCCTCCCGGGCAGTAGGGCAAGCAGTCACAGCTTGTGCCTGTTTTCCTAAAGAGGAGTTGAGAACCTCAGGACGCTGGTCCACTGACCCCCTGCCTCAGAACTGCCCTGGGAGAATACTGATAATAACATGTCCTCAGCCCTTACTCCCGGGTTTCTGAATCGGAAGAATTGGGGGGGGTGGGGGATCTGCAATATATGAGACCCTGTAGGTAGAAAAACCTTCTTCACACTAACACCTGAGACCCTCTCATCATGAGGCTACATAGCCTCATCCGCGGGTTTCTCACGGTTCCATTAGACAAGAGAAGAACTCAGTCCCCATTAAGACTGGATATTCTGCTAGTGAGGTACGTGGGAGGTGGGGTTAAGCCAAGAAGACCTCTAAAACTCCTCTGTTTCTCACTCACACCCATGAGTTTTTCCCCTGAGGACTGGGAAGACATGGGCACTGATCAGTGTGGTACTGGCTCAGTCTTACTCACAAATGGCTGGGTTGGGCTCCTGGGTCTGCATGCCCTCTTAATAAAGAAGAAGCTGTCAGAGGCCATTCCTGCAGGGTCTGTAAGGAGCCAATAAGGAGCCAATGGGTGTAGATAGAGTCTCTGTGTCATCCAGACCACAGGCTTTCCCTTGGCATCCATAAGAAATGGAGTGATCGTTGTTAGAGGGGAACGAGCCCACTTTTCTTATTGGAGAAAAAGTAAAACATTCTTTCAGCGAGTCCTGGGTTTCCCAATGTGCTTCAGGCTGCTGGGGGGTGCAAGGACTCCTCTACCTCTTCGGTCCGGGGTGGTCACACCCCCTGCCAAATAGCTTACTCCAGCGCCCAGAGTCCTCTCCGGTTCTGTAGAGTGCCCAGGGCTGGGGAGTGCCTAGGACATATCTGGAACATTGCTACAGCAGCCGATCCCATCATATCACCTCTTAGCCCACAGAGCTACCCAACAAGTGACATACATTATTGTGTTTTGCTCGTGAAATGTGCTTGTTGAACAGCAACAAAAAAAACATACACAAAGTGATGCTTTCAGATGATGTGACATGTTCCAGTTTGTATTAAATATGCCTTAGAGGGTTTTTTTTTTCACCATGGTTATTTTGTTATAGCTAACCTTGAAAATGAGCGGCTGAGACCCTCCCTTGAAGCTAATATAGGATTTGGGGCCCATTTTTTTATATAGCTACCATTGCAGTTGGTTGCTGTCTCATTATCTTTATAGAGACACATTATCCAGATGGTAAATAGGCTTGTGTGCCTATGTGCCAACTTTTGTTGCTTGGAACAGTACCGAACAGATCGGTTCTGAGACCTACTCACTGAGAAACAGCAATCGATCAGTGATGTGTGCTGCCCAGGGACCAGGGAAAAACCTCGGTGTTCCTGGCTTGAGGGTTTTGCAGGGTCCCCCTCAACGTCGCCCCCCTGGCTCAGACTGTTCCTGGTTTTGAGATTGGGGAACTATCGCATGTCTCTCTACTAAACCTCAGGAGGTTGTTAGAGGGCACAGTGACGGACTTTACCCTGTCTAGAATGTTCCTTCACCTGTATCCTCTGTGATTGTTAATGGCGTCTCCATCTCTCATTGCTTCAAGGTCCTTCCCTCCATTCAATCTGTCATTAAGCCCTGTCAGTTCTCCTCTGCCATTAATTTACCTTCTTATCTGAGTCTCCACCAGGTTGTCTTAATGCACATTTTCACGATCTCCTTTACGCACAACTAAAATACTGTTTTCTCTCAATTCTCTGCCTCCAGGGCCCCTGCTCTGGTCCTCCTCTCGGTGAGGCAAAGGGCAGTGGCTCCCTCTCATGGCTGGGTATTAGAGCCTCCTAAGTGTTTTATAAAAGAAAAACAAACTCAGGGGCTCATCCTCTGGACTGTCCGTGCGCACTGCCCGTGAGCATTCCTAGCTGCACGTAGGACCTCTCCACCCCCCGCCTTAGGGAACTACCGACAAGGCTGAAAAATGCAAACCTTGGAATCTGGAAATCAGGCTTTTAATCTCAATGTTATGATATCATCTCTGCGACCTTGAGCTTCTTCAAAGCTTGGCATTTCCACTACTTTATCCGTAAGGGTGGGCTATCAGTTACCTTGTAAGTTTGTTGGGAAGATTAAATGAGAAGATCTAGATAAGGTGTCTAGCACGTAGTAGGTGTCCACAGTTTGGCATCTTCTGTCATTCTGCATAGTCTTATCCTTATTTTTCTGAAACAGACCAGATCATATCATCTCCCTGCTCAAAAAATGTAATTGTCTCCCCGCTTCAGACAGAAAAACATCCATGCTCCTTAGCTCCTGACCTTTAAGATTGAGCTTTATGTGTGGGTGCCTGGGTGGCCCAGTTAAGCGTCCAACTTCGGCTCAGGTCATGATCTCATGGTTTGTGAGTTCAAGTCCCGTGTCAGGCTCTGTTTTGATAGCTCAGAGCCTGGAGCCTGCTTTGGATTCTGTGCCTCCCTCTCTCTCTCTCTCTGCCCCTCCCCAGCACACATCCTCCCTCCCTCTCTCTCTCTCTCTCAAAAATAAATAAACATAATTTTTTTAAAAAAAGATTTAGCTTTCTGTGACCTTCTCCCACATCTGCCTAACCTGGTGGAACAGCCATGCTGGACTCTTACTGACCAATAAGCATGCCTTTCCCTTTCTCTGCTGAGGCCCTTTCTTCCACCTGTAACTGCCTTTCTCTTCCCTACGTGCAAAACCCCTCTAATCCTCTGAGAAGAGCTCTGAAGAGCTCCATACTACTCCCTTGGGGAAGCCATCCTGGCCACCTGAGTGAAAAGAACTGCTTCCTCCTCTCCCCCGTATTAAAGCATTCGGCCCACCCTTGTTGCATATCTCCACACGAGTCTCTCTCACTGGATCCGAGTTTCCTTGAAGACAAAGGCTGTGACCCATGAGTTGTTGATACAGTTAGTTTGTTCACCGAATATGGCATTAAGCTAAATTGCTGTGTGCCAAACACTGTTCTAGGTGCTGAGGGTACCACAGTGGACAGAACAAAGTCCCTGCCCTCAAAGAGCCTATGCTTTGGTCGAGGGAAATGGTACACAAAATAAACAAATTGTGTTAATAATGATGAGTGTTGTAAAGAAACACAAGACAGGGTAAGGGAGCAGAGCGATGTTATATCAAGTCAGGGAAGACCCGAGTGAAGGAAGAGAGGGTGCCATTTGGATATCTTAGGAAAGAGCAATCCAGGTGGAAAGAATAGCAAGTGCAAAGGGCTTGAGGCATAGAAAAATAAACAGGGCCCTGAACTTAAAAGGATAGCCGGATGCCCCAGGGCAAATATTTTACCGTCCTGTGCTTGTTTCCTCATCTAAAAAATAAGAATGATAATAATACAACATTCTTTTTTCTGAGTTCTCCTGAAGATTCAGTAAAATATTGTCCCCGGCACATGACCGGCACTCGATATGCTGGTTTCCTTCTCTTCCCCCCTTTCTCTCTGTTCATCATAAAAGCCTCCACATAATGCTGACTGTGGTATCTAGCCTATAGCAGATGTTCAAATATTTGCTGATATGAATTGCAAAGGCACACTTAGCAAAACATGCTCTCATCTTACAACGTGTATACTTCATTTGTCACCTCCAAGGGAGGCATTAAAAATGGTGTCCAGCCAGCCGTACCCCTACAACTGTTGGCTTCAGGACGCACTGGCACTCGGAAGAGAAGAGGGGGCACAGTTCTCTGGATGTGGCTTCTGCAGTTCCCCTTGGTTCTACCACTCTGTGATTTTTGGAACAGGCCCTTTTCGGTCCCATTATACTCATTAATAGTAACACTGTTGGAAACCAGTTAGTAAGCATCGGGGCTGATTCAAGAGGTTTAAAGGATTGCGAGCAGCCTCTCCCATGATTTAAGGAGAGCCTGGGCATTACTGGGATGGTCAGTGGAATGCCCACAATTATTTCTGTATCTTTGGCCATTTCTTCCTCCTATTTCCTCTTTGACAAGAAGCCTTCTCTGTCCCTATCTGCCGTGCCTGGGTACAGTTGTCCTTAAGTGACACAGGCATTATCAGTAGTGTGGGCAACTCAGCTTAGCAATGTGGCACATTAAAACGTCTATACGAGTGGATAGTTTCTTCTGTGCGTGGTAGCTGGGCAGTCTACACTTAATTAGGTAAGAAAATAACCACGTTGAGCTGCAGGCATTGAGAAGCCATAATTACAGAATACATCCCACCATATTCATTGCTGCTTCTACATGACCATCTGCATCTCAGTTAAAATCCACCCCCCCTTTTTTTTATTTTTAGGCCTAAGAAAAATCAGAAATTTTTGCTTATCTTATTACATTTTCTAGAAATAGTTTACGTGATTGAATTTTAACTTTTCATACACTGATACGATCTAAAATTAATTCTTCCTTTTTCAAGATTCTGAGGATAATATCAGTTTGGTTTTCAAAGAGGTAGAGCTCACAGATACCTGCATAGGGTAGTTTCCTTCTTTTTTTCTTCTGTCTTTTCAAAAAATGTTTGTTTATTTTAGAGAGAGTGCGTAAGTGGAGGAGGCGCAGAGAGAGAGCAAGAGAGAGAGAGAGAATCCCAAATAGGCTCTGGGCTGTCAGCGCAGAGGCCGATGCAGGGCTTGATCTCATGAACCTTGACATTATGACCTGAGCCAAAATCAAGAGTCTGACGCTTAACTGACTGAGCTGCCCAGGTGCCCTGGGGTAGTTTCCTTCCAAGAGAAATAACCAGACGCGCTGAACAGCAGAAAATCACTCACTGTAATCAGAGAAATCATGAGCATTACTGGGATGGCCTGATAGATTTTATTTTTATATACAAACCTACTTTCCTCCACACCCAAGCCTGAAAGTCTATGTTTGAAGCAAGATCTAAGGAGGTTACTATTTCTTAAGATATTGAGGGGCCCAAGAAAGAGAAATGACAATGGGTGGGAATTAGTCACATAGATGAGAATCCTTGGGGATGGGCGGGCCAAAATTGGAACTCATGAACACAGAAAGGACTTGGGGTTTCACCCGCTCACAGAATCGGTGGTGTCTTTGTACATCTCTGTGACATTTCAGAGAATGACACTCCTCTGCTAATGCCAGTCCTTCCCCAATATGTCAGGGGACATCAGCATATAAATTCAGGAATCCTATTATGTGATCGTACTGCTTAGGTACTCACAAGTAGAATTCCATTCTTAAAATAGTCAGAAGAATTTTACTCCTACCTTCCAAGAAAGCCATAAAATGAACAATGCCAGTAACAATTATGAAACTAAATTGGCCTTGTAAAAGAAAAGAAAAATCAATTTTGCCAGTTTACATCCCTGGTAACTAATTTCCATATAAATGATCTGACTTTATGCAGTCTAAAAATATGCCTGTATCTTCTGTGTTTTCTTGGTTGAAATATTTGCAGTTCTTGAGATATACTTAGGTGCAACTATTGGAAGCTATTTTGGTATGTGTTATAGCTTTCTAATTATAATTATCTTTTTTTTTTTTTTTTTTTTTTGGCAGTATATCAGTTACAGCAAGAGGCCCCTCGTCCCAAGAGGATCATTTGTCCTGGGGAGGTCAGTACTCAGCTATTTCCAACACACCTTGTTAAATATGATGAATTGTCAGCACTATGTTGATGTTGGAGGGCTTTCAGATTTCCTGGGAGTTGATTTGCATTCACGTTTGTTAACGTGTCACCAAATTTAACGCCTAAGTAATCTGTATTTTGAAATCAGGTGTTATTTGAAAAATATTCACAAACTAACTTGATGTCAGAGGTCTTGTGTTTTTTTTTTTGTTTGTTTGTTTTTTAAATGTTTTATTTATTTCTAGGAGAGAGAGAGAGACACACAACGTGAGCAGGGGAGGGTCAGAGAGAGAGGGAGTCCCAGACTGAAACAGGCTCCAGGCTCTGAGCTGGCAGTCAGCACAGAGCCCGACGCGGGGCTCGAACCCACGAACCGCGAGATCATGACCCAAGCGAAAGTCGGACGCTTAACCGACTAAGCCACCCAGGCGCCCCAGAGGTCTTGTGTTTTTAACCATTGCAGAGGCAACTTAAGCGTCCTTTTTTAAGACCCCCAAAAACGTGTGGTTTTGGTTGTTTTCCTTATTCCTGCTCTTCCGATTCTTTTATCATTTTTTAAATTATGGAATGCTTCCGGCAGAGAAAACACAGAGAATAATATATGTAGGTACTCTCACCACTCATGTTTAACAAACCTTTATGCTCTGTCACATTTACTTGATGTTAAAAAAAAACCCTGCAAGAAAAGTGACTGTTTTTATTATTGGAGATCAGCTTAAAAAATATATCCACTCATACAAATGCTCACAGCCCAGAGAACTTTCCCCAGGCCTCCTTCACTTCCCTTATCATCTGGGGCGTCAGCACGATTGAAAGGCAGGGCTAAGGTTCTAGTTCCTATTTTTACACTGACACCAGTTTCTGTAATAGTCAAACTAATATCCTTCACCCAAAGGCCCATGGGTCCTTGCTTATTTTTTATATTATGACTTAGATTAAATATACAGTAGCAGATGCCACTTACAGAGTCCCATCTGCCTTATCAGGAGGAAAAGGCTCCAATTCCAACACTCTTGAGAGTCGTCCTTGAACATCAGTACTTTCTGGCTACCAGACTGACTGGATCTGGCTTTGAACCTGTCTCAGAGACTTTGGTCCAAAGATCTCCACACCCAGAGCCAACTTACCACTATTTAATAAATGTTTCTACGTAAGATTTTACTTCTGTTGGACGTTGAAATTCACCAACTGATGTCCGGTCACCAACCCTGATGACTTTTGTCCTTTTGTTATTCAACAATATCCAAATAAGAGGAATTGGATAAATACAAAATGTTTAATGAGATGCTTGGAATAGAGGGTCTGGGGAGATAAGTAACACACAAGCTATTAACAATTCCTTCGATCCTACTTTTTTCCAGCACAAAAAATATAGCCCTTGCAGGGAGTTAGAGGAATTCAGATATCTTCATAAAAAGAATGTTTTGTAAAATTAGAACACAACTGGGGTGCCTGGGTGGCTTAGTTGGCTAAGCGTCCAACTTCAGCTTGAGTCATGATCTCATGGTTTGTGAGTTCAAGCCCCATGTCGGGCTCTGTGTGCTGACCGCTCAGAGCCTAGAGCCTGCTTCAGATTCTATGTCTCCCCCTCTCTCTGCCCCTCCCCTGCTCATCCTCTGTCTCTCAATAATAAATAAACATTAAAAAAATGTTTAAAAAATTAGACAAAACTAAGGACTTTGACTAGGGGTATTGAGAAAAAGTCTCCAGGCTAGGTCGGGTACCAGAACTTAAAATCCAAGGGCATTGTAAATACTCATTTGTTCATCTATTCAACAAATATATATGGAAAGCCTACTGTGTTCTGACTTTGATCTAGGTGTTGGGAATGCAGCAAAGAACTTGGCTATTGATACTTGGAGTGTCACATCAAAAGAGAACATCATGATGTATGTAGTTAAAGATAGATCTAATATTTTACCTCTGCCTGTGTGTATATGTGTGTGTGTGTGTGCGTGTATGTGTGAGAGGGAGTGCACTTCTTTGCTTCTCAAATTCTTTGGAACCGTCATTTGTCCTGTAAGCCAGGTGGAATGTTCGCAGTAGAGATGGGTAGATTCAGATTAGCTTCACAGAAGATCTTTCCAGGATTCAGCTGAAACCCTTCAGACATCCAGTGGGGTGTGAAGGGTCCACGGTTCTCTTTAATGTTGCACTTGCGTTGGAAGGCAATGCCACAGACACCTTAACAAAGCGGACTGTGTACCACAAGCCATCACCATCTGCTGTAACTAAAGAACATAGTGCATGTGTAGCTTTTTTTTTTCCCCCCTCGTCTGTCTTCTGAACCAACTTTTCACCTTCCGACCTTTATTGGTTTAATTCATTAATAAGTTATCTGGCTGATGCTGGACTGAGGTTGCTTGCCTCTAGGAATTCCATATCCCGTTTCAGCCATGAACCTTCACACGAAATGGATATCCATCAGCTCCATTTCATTGGCAGGCAGCATGGGGCCCATGCAGCTAGGCAGGTGTCCGCCCATGAAGGGTCACGTGTGCTGTCAGAACAGGTGCTGCTTGGAGGAGAGAGCCAACAGGAGCGGCTTCAGCTCTCTTTGTCCTCTAGCGCGACATGAAGTGCAAATCATTCCTGCCCACGTGGCTGGGCCTCCCAGGACTTGGCCTCCTTCAGGTGAAGGCACGGCCTCCTCTTAGACACCTTTTAACTGCTGCTTCTGCTACAGGCGGTGTGTGAGCACATGTCTCCTTGGCCTGTGCCACACCTGCATGCTCAGGGGACGTGCCTGATGGAGTCAGAAAGCCTTCGGTTAGAGGACGTGGCCAGAGACACCGACGCTTTATTAACGCATTTATATAACACCATAATGGCTATTTCTTTTGAACAATGAGTTATGATTTTTTGCTTTTGCCATCTCACCCCTTAGCCAGCTATTAAGAGTCCACGTTTTCCTTCAGTACACAGTCCAGCTGCCCTCCTCCTTACTCTTCCTCCTGTCTGCTCCCAGCCACCATGTCCCTACCTTGTGCGTTACTCCAGTGTGCTCTGATGTCCATTGTTTCTCTGATGCCTGGTATCCTCCCAGGCTGGGGGCTCCTCTGAGGTTAGGATCGTCCCATTGAATAGGTTACAGACTCACATGAGAGCACCAAGAGGGTCTGTAGTCACCCAGATATGGAATGCTTGCTCAAGGGTAAAGACACAGGCCAGCATGACTTGAATGCTTGCCGGCCGTCAACAGACACCAACCACCTAATAGACTTCTCTGGGGACCTGTGTGGGTCGAGGGGACAGCCTGATCCAGCAGGCAAAATCTAGTGAGCTTTGCAAATGCAGGCAGAGGAGCCCAGTTGCAGAGTCAGCTGGACTTGTTTTGAATTCGTGCTCTACACCTTTCGACCTACTTAACTAGAGCCAAGCACTTACTTCCTCAGGGAGGTGAAGGTCTACTCTACTCCAAGGGCCAGTATCTACTTGGCAGGGTGCTATAAATGGGATATATGTGGTAAGTGTCTAGAATAGTGCTCGGCACATAATAAGCACTCAGTGTTCATGATTCAAGGCAGATTCAGAAACCTGAGGAGGAGGTTTTGAGACAGTCATTAGGGACAGAGTGAGAGCAGTGACCATGTTCTCTGAATGGGAAAGCCCAAGAGACAGGGATCAAGAACAAAGCAAGATGCCTGGATCAGGAATTAAACCACCAGGAAAAAGGATATTGAGGATGAGGAACAGAGGGTGAAAATGGCTGAAGAGGCAGGTATCGTCGGCTAGTGAAATGATGGTTCACTGCTTTCTTGAGATTCACCACTGTAAATTTGTATTTATCGAGCAGCCACAGCGCCTAGCACTCTACCAATATTTCCTGAGTGTTCCTTGCCAGGGGATTCAAAACATATGCTTGGATGCAAAACTCTCTCTTGCCCTTTCCCACAATTATCTGTCCACCATTTTGAAAGCAATTCATTGAAGGGCGCCTGGGTGGCTAAGTCGGTAAGCCCCCGACTTCAGCTCAGGTCACGATCTCATGGTTCGTGACTTAGAGCCCCGCGTCGGGCTCTGTGCTGACAGCGCAGAGCCTGGAGCCTGCTTCAGGTTCTGTGTCTCCTTCTCTTTGCCCCTCCCCTGCTCATGCTCTTTCTCTTTCTGTCCCAAAAATAAACATTAAAAAAAAAGAAAGAAAGCATTTCACTGATTACCAAATATGTGCCTGGATGGTCAGGAAGGAACTGTGAATATTGACCCCCAAATGTGTACCTCTAAGACTTCTCCCTGGGCCCCACACACCTCTCTCCATCTGTCTACTTGACCTCCTCAAGGAGATGTCCCACAGGCCACCTGTAGCCTAACATTCAAAATAGAATGCACCTCCCCCCACCGCTGCCCCGAGACCTGGACTCCTCTCTTCCCACCCTCATCATTTTTTCTAGCAATTGTCAAGTTTACCTCCAACTGTGTCTTGCATTTGCCCACTGTTTTTCCTTCTCCGTGACTGCCACATGGTTTGGATCATCGTCGTGTCTTGCCTAGATTATCGCTGGTCAGCAGCCTCTTGCCTGATCGCCCCATTTTCACTCCTGGCACCCTCCCCGCAGCTCACGCACACATATGTGCACGCACACGCGCACACACACACAGACACACACACACTCCATTCACCAAACAGGAGCCCCAATCATAATTATCAAATATAAATCAAACAGCTTCAACAACTTCCCATTACTCTTAAAATAAAAACATGATTCCTCACTAGGCTGTGAGCCGTGGCCAGGTTCCAGTATGGGTCACCTCCCTGCCTACACCATTCTCCTCAGAGCACACGGCCCTGCAGCCTCACTAGCCTCTGCTGCCATCCATCAAACAAACCACAATGTTGCCACTACAGAATCTTCAGATCTGCCCTTTGCCTGCAATTTCCCAGTGTTCTCTGCATGCCCGGGTTTCAGATCAGAGTTCACCTAATAGCAGAAGCCTTCCCTGAACTCCATGAAAACTAGTACCTCCCCATCGCAGTGTTGTCTCCTG